AATATATATATATATATACACACAGTAAAGTTACAATTTAAAATATGTAGATACTTTAAAATATTTAAAAATTTCGTAAGAGCTAGCTTCTATGATTATTAGAAATAATAATACTTGATTGCTGGTTGCTAACTGTTGAACCATTTCATGCAAAGTCTTTTAAATTAAATCATTATTCTTATTTTTATATTTTATAAAATGTTGAACCATATGATGTTTGCTGGAATTTTTGTGATAGATTCTCACAGTATTTATTCCGAATTACTTTAATCTTTTTTTCTTTTCTTTTTTTTCTTAGAAGCAAGAATTTTAAAAAATTATATTTAAAAAATGTAGTATATATTCTTAGAGATCAACACAATTAGTTTTAAGCATTGAAATTTATTAGCTATACCTCTAGGTTATTTGATGTTTGAAAATTCAACCCAATAAAAAGGGCATTAAGCTCTTTCACATTCTATGATTAGTGTGAGAAGAATAAAAATAATATTTGGGAATACTTTCAAACATCAAATAACTTCGAGGTATAGCTAATACCACCCTACTTTTTGCTATTGCCACCACAACCTCCATCCACTACATGCCACCAACACTCATAATATATATGTTGGTATTTTTTAAAAAAGAACAAGCTTCTTTTTACCTTTACCTTCATATATATATATATATATATATATATAGTATGTGAATTCTTATATGTTTAAACTTATTTTTTATATTAGTATTTAATAAAAATTAATAAAACAGTTAATTAAAATTTTAAAAATATAAATAAATATCAAGTGGGTGGCAAATTGTGGTGGCACTAGCAATACCCTACCTTTAATAAAGATAACAATTGTGTGTTTAAAATTTTTATAACAGACAATAAATTCCACCAACTTCTTCTACCTTTATCAATTGTGTCCTTCCAATAACTGGTTATTCAATATAATTTATTTTTTGCATGAGCTGAATGACATATATATGTATGTATGTATGTATGCAGAGAGATGCATAGAAACATAAAATTAAATAAATTGACAAATAAAATTCAACTCGCACTTTGCTTACACAATGAACACTTTGGCAGTACACATAAAAAGAATTGGTGTCAACCTTCTTTTATAAAAAGACTACAGAGAATTGATTAAATTATCCATAGATTATCATAAATCACACACAATAGTTAACATAAATCAGCCTAATATATCAATTACTGAAAGAAAAAAAGAAAAAAAGAAATGTATATATATATATATATATATATATATTCATAAATCCGTAGTATACAGGAGAGTGTAATGAAATAACCATGCTTTTTTGATGAACTGTAAGAAACAATTTTAAATTCTTGGGTGTGTGCATGTATGTAACTGATCAAACTTTAATTGATTTATTTACTTATTAATGTTCATTCTGAACATATGTTTGAATATGTATGTATGTATGTATGTATGTATGTATGTCTATATGTATATATATTGTGTGTGTGTTTGTTGCTTTTACAGTGGAAAAATACTTCAATTGATCATGTAAGACATGATATTATAGTTACAACTGAAAACATCCAATATATCATTATTGTACAAGGAACAAAAGAAACTCGTGAGGGAAATAATAATTAAATATGTATATGAATGAGAATAAAAGTTTTAAATTTTTTTTACCAATTCATAATCAAAATAAATTATATTGTAATCGAAGCCACATACATGAGAGCCATGTAAACAAAAATTTGATGTCAAAAAATGAGAGCCATGTAAACAAAACAAACAAAGTGGGAGGAACCAAACCCTAGAATCTTTGATGGCATTTCTCAAAATGGGGGGTGACACTTTTGTTTACTATTGATGTCATTTAAAGATTGTGATAAGATAAGGGGGGCACAAAGATTGATAGATAGATAGATAAGGAGCCTTATTTGACCCTCGTGACTTGGGCACCCGAAGGCTTATCTATCCATCTGGCCCATCATGCACACAGCGGCACCAGCATTCGAGGTGAATTCCATGCGCAACACGCGCACTCGGGGGTGCCGCTGACATGTTCCAATGTCGGAACAGCTCTAGTAACGCTGTCATAAGACGGATTCCATTTCCTACGCTTTCGTCTAGAGTGGCTGAGTAGGCCAAGAACCCATTTAATGCTCCGTCCGCGTGACAATTCTAGCGGCAACCGAGACCAATTTGGGCGGAGGATATTGTTTGGAGAACCTTCGCCCATCTCAGAGTGTGCCAATGATTGATGCTCGATGGATATCCTTTTCGTCCCCTCTTTCTTCCTATATCCCTGATTTCTTTTACATTCCGTGTCTTGTCTTTTATTCCCTATCTTTTTCTTCCACCCCTTTTGCGACCATGGTTTGAAGTGTGACCTACTTGGTTTGTCATGACGCTCTGAAGATGACAAACTTCGAGTATTTTCCTTTTTGATATTCTTCCTTCCTTTGCTTATTCAGCAAAAGAGTTGGGCTGGTGGGGGAGTCTTGTAGGTCTAGGATGGATGAAATAAGGATGTGAGGATGATGAACGAATGTGTGGTGAATATCCTGCACCCGGAATCCTCGGTTAGCCTTTGGAAAGGTTCAGAAGCTGATTCTTGTGACCAGAAGTTTTTTCAAAAGTATCCGGTTTTTTGTTAAAAAATTCAATATTAACAACTTGTCTGATGAGAATGGAACGAATGTCTCCCATTCACAGCCCTGCAACACGCCCAAAAAGGTTCTCTAAAATGAAATCAAAAGTAAATTTTTGTGACGGCTTCCATAACCATTGTAACAAACACTGTGTTTTCTCGGTATAAAATAGGAAAAAGCCTGAATAAAACGTCGGTGAGAGTGTGGTTCGCGCACTTCTTCGATTTCCATTCTCTTTTTTTTTCTTCTTTATATCTGGTGCAGAGGTATCTGCCTGTTGGATCTTCTTGTTGTCAAATACTTTTGTATTTGTATTACAAATTTTACTTATCCCGATGATGGCACACCCAATAATAGGGCGGAACATTCACTGTGGCACAGTGATTACGTGTCCTTTTTCTTATATTACATACCTTAAAGGGCCTACATGGGTTTTGTGTTTTTAAAGTTCATAAAAGAAAGATGGCTGGAGAGTTGTTTTAGGAATGAGTGAAGGATGAGAAGGTTATGTAGCAGCTCAAAATGAGAATTTCATGTTTGTTCTGAGCAGAGTAGCTTAATGAGTGCCAGACGAAAGCAGAATGATATGCAGTCTGTTAACAGGACAAAAGCCAATAAGTTTGTCTGGAGTAAGGTCCAAGCCTCCTTTTTTCTTTTTATATTTCATCTACTTTTTTCTTCACTTTTTGCCTATTATTTCTCTGTGTGGTGAGCCTTGACGAAGATTCACAGCCACATCAGTTGAGAGGATGGAAGGAAGTCCACCGATTGTTCACACATGACAACGTGTAGTCTTCCACCGCTTGCACTACCACTACTTCTCCCAGCACCCCTTGGCCACTATTCTTTCAAAGTGCTTGTGGTAGACTTGGATCGAAGCAAGCGAAAAGGGAGGGCTTCCTATTCTGTGGCCCCTTGTCTCTCTCTCTAACCTCCTCCACTCCCACAAACATACATAAAACACAATGCTAAAACTTTATACTTAAATAATATGGGTTCTTTGTTTTTTTGTGTTGGAGAAAATGCACTTGGTCGGGTTAGCAGAATTCGGTAAAATAGTAATTCAATTAACAAACCATCTCCATGCAAGGAATCTCCCACCCAAGTCAGATGAACCTTTCAGAAGCTAGCATATCTATGTTTACCCTTCTAGCATCGTCTATTATTTAATTAGGGTGTTGTTCCCCTGTAATCAGTGAAATTTAATAATTTAATTTACATCTTATCTGTGATGTGCAAATATCAAAACAAATCATGAAATAGTTTCTAACTGGGGTGCGGAAAACGAAACCTCGTTCAGGCCCTCGACGAGGACCCGGATGCAAAAACCACGTTACTTCACGATGCAATGGGAAAAGGGTTCCATCCTCAAACGAATGAGGAGCTTCGTCTTGGCCCACTCATTCATTCGACTGTGGATCCAAAGGAATATCCCCCTCCTCCACCGGTGTCGTCGGACGGAATCCACACCTCCAATCGCCGCACACAGATGCCCGCGAGAGTTTGGTCGCAGCTTGCCATCCGCAGGATTTAACTCCGTTCGCAAATGCAGGTGGAATTAGGAGGACGAGTGGTGTAATGCGAGGAAAGGTGATCCGTGGTTCACGTAGCGGCGTAGGAATCTCGAGCATATGCTCATCGATGCCGTCGAACCTTCTCCAGGGTGGAGAGTAGATCCGTTCGCATATTCCGAGAACTCCTCGCATACTCCACGCATTAACCGTTGCTTGCGTACAGATTTGGCCGTGTAACGAAGCATCCCTGTCGGCGCGGTCAACTGTCAACCTCATGGGAGTTAGCCTCGCTCAGACTCATCTGAGTTTCACCTCGCTTTATTTTCCTGTCTTCAGTTCGCCCGCTGCGATATTTTTAAAGTGGAGAAAATAAAATTGCATCGCTGCCAACCTCAGAGGTGTCCACCAACCGTTGCGTGCATTTTGGTGGCATCACGGTGCGGATACTATTTTGGAATTCCGTCGCCTCGAGTCCGATTTCGGTTGTCAGTTTCGTGGAAGCAGTCCTATCATGTAGTTATTTGTTTGTTTATTTCTTTATTTCACTTGGTTTAGAGCCACGTTATAAAATATGTTCATCTGTTTTTATTCTTAAAAACGCTATTCTACTCTCGAGAGATTCCTCTTCATTGGGCTCGAGTAGTGTTTTTCATCGATTTGGAAATTTTGACAGGATTTCGAAGAAGATAATCTAAAATCAAATTTTATAATTTCTAAATCCAAACTGTATAATTATAGTTTTTACTTTTTTATTTTATTTTAATGTGTGAGTAAGTAGCGGTCGTTGTCCTGACGAGGCGAACGATAATTTCGTAGTGTTCTAACTTGGTGAGGGTTCTGTGTGCCGATTTAGGCAATCTTGAGTTTCTTCTTCACTTGACAGCTTCGGTGAGTCAGGGGAGCCGCGTGTTTGTTTACTTCATTGCTTAGCATTCTGCGTTTGTGTGGAATTCGTCAGAGATGTTGGGTGTGAGGAGTTTCTTCTTCTGACAGTGCAATGTGGCATCTCTGTTCGTAATCTGTTGTGCGAATCGAGTGCGCAGTCAAGGCTAATGCACCAGGCGGAGGTTCAAACTTGCATTGTCTGGATTTAAGGGGCACTCATCACGTCTTGTGTTAAAAGGCAGCGCATCCGTGATTTGTTTCTACACTCGCAGTTTAAGTGCAGCTTTTCATTCTCGGGAAGTTGTTTCGAGAGTCGCTTCTTGCTCTCCCTATGTTTTTTTTTTTCTTTTAGTCGAAGAAGGGAGTAAGTCTGGGACGTTTCCGTTTGTCGTGACACATTCCTCCTGCGTCATCTGGGCTAGGAGAAGCGCCGTTACGGTCGATAGTTGTTTTTGAGAGCTTTTAAATTCGTCCCTGTTCAAGAAGGTTTCCCGTCTTCTCTTAATTCTGGAGCTACGTCTGAATTGGTTGCAGTAATGAGTCCATTTAGTGGTTCATAATTTGAAGGTGTCCGAGTTTCTGTGTTGGAGTTTCTTGGTGTGCACTGTCTGTCGATCGTTTACAAGGGTGTAGTCTCCTGCTTTCGCTAGGAAGCGGGGTTTGTGTGACCTGCATGTCAACTCACGCATTGGAGAAGATGTCGAAGAAGCGTTGAGATTAGAATCGCAGAGTGCGGAGGGATTGTGTTCTACAAAACTCTTGTATACAGAAATCTGTAGGGGAGATTGAGATGGAGTCACACAGACAGAGCCGTCGTCCACCGCCCGGTATTGCTCTCCTTAGGAAGCTCAAGGGAGGCAGGGATTTCAGCTATACGACGTACCAGGCTATAGTCCTTTTAGTCACCTTCATCGCGTACGCTCTGTTTCACGCGTCGCGTAAGCCGCCTAGCATCGTGAAGAGTGTGCTGGATCCTGAGGGCTCTGTCATCTCTACCCTGGGATCTGGACACTACGCCCTCCCTGCATCTTTGACGCCATCCTTCGAAAAATTGTTTTACAATGGCTCTGCTGAATTCAATTCCACCGAAAATAAAATTGCTCAGGGAGGGTGGGCGCCATTTGATGGCAAGACAGGGAAGAATAGGCTCGGGGAAATTGACGTTGCCTTCCTGGCGTCGTATGCCTTTGGCATGTACTTTGCAGGGCACTTGGGAGACCGCCTGGACTTGCGGAAATTCCTGTCTGTTGGTATGATGTGCAGTGGCTTCTGTGTGTGCTTATTCGGGATGGCTCGCTTTTGGGACATACATCGTCTCGAGTATTTTTTGCTTGTGCAAATGGCTGCCGGACTTTTCCAAGCCACTGGCTGGCCTTCCGTAGTCACCATCGTCGGGAACTGGTTTGGAAAGAAGAAGCGGGGCTTAATTATGGGGATTTGGAATGCGCACACCTCCATTGGTAACATCCTTGGGTCCCTCATTGCCGCTGCGGCGCTCAAGTATGGATGGGGTTGGTCATTCATCGTTCCCGGTGCCCTTTTGGCTGGAGGCGGCCTCATGGTGTGGACCTTCCTCACCGTGAAGCCTGGTGATCTGGGCTTGCTGTGTCCTGAAGAAGTCGAGGCTGTTGCAGAAGGTGAGCGGGATTTTCTTATCTGTACTGTAGAGATTTTAAAGTTTTCAATCACAGATGAGGAATTCATTGTAACTTCTATTACAGCCCAGTTTATTGTATGTTGGGTTTTGGCAATTCTGTAGTAACATTTTTGACTCTGCGGTGATGCAGAACCTGGCTCTGATCACACAGATTTGACTGCGAATCAGAACAAGGATTTAGATGTGGCAGTTGAGTCTGAGTCATTAGACTTGGAGTCACAGCAGCTTGTTGAAGCAAATCAAGATGCGCCAGAATTGGGCAGGATCGATCTTGCTGTTGGGTTTCTTGAGGCATGGAGAATTCCTGGAGTCGCCACTTTCGCTCTCTGCTTGTTTTTTTCGAAGCTCGTGGCGTACACCTTCCTGTACTGGCTTCCATTCTACATCAGACAAACACGTAAGCTTTCAAACATCTTTCATTACTTTTCGTGTGGTTCATTTTGCTTTATGACCGCTTTCCTATCCCCGTGTTATTAATTTGAAAATGCTTTCTACTGGTTTTCATGTGTTTTTTTTGTAAATAAGGTTTTTGATCATATCAATATTGTTTGTAACAGCCATCGCAGGAAAGATTATGGACGAAAAGACAGCAGGTCAACTGTCAACACTATTTGATGTAGGGGGTGTAGTTGGAGGTATCTTGGCTGGCCACATCTCAGACAAGATGAATGCAAGGGCCATTACAGCTGCTGGGTTTATGTATTGCGCGATTCCCGCTCTCTTCCTATACAGGAGCTATGGCAGTGTTTCCTTGACGGTCAACATCGTACTGATGGTAGTCGCGGGGATGTTAATTAACGGGCCTTATGCACTTATCACGACGGCTGTTTCAGCTGACCTGGGGACGCACAGCTCACTGAAAGGAAATGGCAGAGCTTTAGCTACGGTTACTGCGATTATCGATGGAACAGGTTCCTTGGGAGCTGCGATTGGACCTTTGCTGACGGGATTTCTATCAGGTCAAGGTTGGGGTGCGGTCTTCGTGATGCTCATGATGGCCGCGCTGTTTGCTGGCTTGCTCCTGACGAAGTTGGTCGTAGCGGAGGTGGTGGAAAAGCTTGTAAAATATCAACGCGTTCAAAATCTCTCAGAAACAGCTCGAGAGCAACTGACGGGTAACCTCTCTCTGCTATTATTTGATTTTCGTTACATCTGTAAGTCAACTAGTGGGGTCTACAAGTATTTGGTGGTATATGCAGAAGTCTCGCTGTGAATGTTGAACAGTACATATGTCGTTGGCTCTGACCTCTGGCGTCCAGTAGTGAAATGCATGTCGGTCTCGTGTATTGGATTTGTCTATAAAAGATTGATTTATGCATCACGAAGCAAATCTTGAAACGTTCGACTCACATCTTGTTCTCTTTTTTATGATGCCAGATTTGTTGATAGGAGGAGGGAAAAAATGAGACGGGTATGGGAAGAGGAAAACTCAGCACATAAGAGTTTGTCTACATATATTCCAGGCCTATCGTATATTATCTTCATCAAATGATCAAAACTTTCCCCGAAAGCTTTCGAGGTTGTATCGTTGACTCAGGATGCATTATTACGCTCGATCAATCAAATGTTGCAGAGTTGTGAGGAGCATTCCCTGCTCTGAGCCTATCCAATGCGCTGGCGATTCTCGCAACATACACGTAACGTGCCAACTACCTCGGGTTGGCCTAAGTCCCCAGTTGCAAGGAGAAAGACAGTCATTGGAAAGAACATGGCAACATACATTAATTTTATTATTTCAGAGCCAAGCAAGTCTCAGGACGTTTTTGAATAAGACTGGCCTGGAAGCGATCAACTAGCCTGTCTCAACTGAGAGGCTTTTCTGCAGATCCAGCAGCTCAAGTCAGATAGTTCGAGCTGAGTAAGATAACACTTTTGATGAGGACAGTTTTTAAGCCACCCACCTAACAGGGAGAAGCACATTGGGTGCACCAAGTTTGTGTCAAGGAAAATCGTTGACTCAACATTTTGTACAAATTAGATGAGATAATTTTTCTTTCTATGAATACTGATCGCAATGAAACTTTAGGGCTCAAACCTTACAGACATGTCCAAACTTTTCATGGATATCCACTGCAGGATTGTGTGTCTTGTTTTGAGAATGTGTTGATAAAGATCACATGCATTTTCATAGTGTGTAGACTCAGGCAGGAAGTCGTGTCTGTGTCTGCCGATGGGACAGGAGAATGTTGAGCATTCTGTAAGGGTTAGGTTATCTTGGTTATCCTCAGAAAGCCCCAAAACGTTAAGCTATGTGCAGATGTACAGATTATGCTGGTGCCAGTAACACCATTTTATAGAACATGAAGCAACTTCACCTCAGAAAGTTGAAAAGTTATATGTAACTGGCTTTTAGTAATGCTTACACTTTGGAGGTATTTACTACAGAGCATGCGGTTGTCGTGGATGATTGAATCAAGGTTTTCATTTATGTTAACTGTGAGTGGGAGCAGGCAACACCCATGAGGTAGTTTTGTGTATTCACATATGCATTTACAATTCTAAAAAAAATGTTAACTAGTATAAAATAAATATGGAGGTGAAGTAATTATTCATTGATTTTTATTCATTCAATCATCTAATTTTAATCAACGAGGGTATCACTTTTCTTTGTTCATAGAAAGTGTTCTATTGAGCAAGAGGTTTGAATAGAGTTTACATTGTGTTCAGAGGGAGTTAATTTGAAGTGAAAATTGAATTGGAGAAATAAGGATTAAAATAGGTTAATTTTTTAAGAATTGTGCACTTTGACATGACTTTTTGTAAGTAATGTATAAAAAACAAGATAGTCATAATAGGTGGGATCTCATCAAATCTCTTCTAAATCCTATATAATTTCTAAATAAATTTCTTGCTAATTTTTTTTCTTTTCTTATGACCTACAAAACAATAGTCTAGTTGATAAATTTTATAATTCAAATTTTACTCAAATTACTCAAATTTTATAATAACATGAGATAAAATAATAATATTATTTTTAATAATACTTTAATAATTTTTAAAGATAAAGTGGTAGTGTAGCTATATTAAAATAAAAGATGACAATCCACAACATTTCATGTGAAAATTCTCTTGTTAAAAAAAATCTAATGCTACAATTCTACCAATTTCTAAAATTGACATAATAATCTCAAAAATTTGATGTGGAAATTTTTTCCTACATCATAATAATTTTCAAAAAAATTAAATTTAAATTTTAAATCTAATGTGGAAAAATTGAACTATCCAAATAAAATTTAATGTGACTAACTTAAATTTGATTCAGCAACATCAAACTATCATAATAAAATCTAATATGACGCTTATATTCAATATAAAAAAATCAATCTACCCTGTAACAATTTGACCTTACAAAATTACATTTGATATGATAATCTTTCATCAAATGTGACATAATCAACATTGCATAAAGATTCACAATTTTTTTGAATTTTAAATTTAAATTATGTAGTATCAAAACTAAGATTTTTGGATTTTACTTTATTATTTAAATTATTCAAATTATTTTTGAAAACATTACAATGTACTTTTTGTAATACATCCAATCTTAGTTGCCTAAAAGGGAAAATCTCAACACTAAAGACATGCTACAATTTGATAGATAAAATGACTGGATTTAAAAAAAATTATTTATGTACATTTATGTAACTAAAATTCAAAAACTATTGAGATATTTTTTCGTATTTTAAAAAATATATATAACAATATAGGGTATTTTTAAATTATATATATATATATATTAAATAAAAATTTAAATTACATGAGATTTGACATTTAGGTTGCATTAGTGTATTCTCTGAACATCATAGATTCATTGATATTTTTACCAACTTCACCACAAAATATTGAATATGTGGTTACATAATTTAAGAAACCAGCTCTTGCAATATCTCTGACTCTCTCTCTCTCTCTCTCTCTCTCTATATATATATATATATATATATATTTATATTCATTCTAGCAAAGATGAATTTTTTACATAAATTTTGTGAATTGTATACCTACATATTATAAAATTTATACACAAAAATTGTATATTTCAATCTTCACCTCACTACATATTAAAACTATGCTTATTTAAAAAAATTAAGTTGCAGGTCCACGAATGTTCTTTTTGTTGGTAACGGATGAACATATAATATGTGATGGCTTATAAGTCTTTACTAAAGATTATTTTTATTATTTTTATTAAATGCATCAAATTTTAATCAGCTATCTCTAATTAGCATTCTATGGAATGATCATTACCACCAATCAAGAGACAACTGCATTATACAATGCAAATAGTTTCTTGTAAGAAGGATTGTGGTTTATTAGAAAACTTTATTATTTGTTATTGTTAAACGTTGTAAATTCGTAAAGTGTTTTACTTTTTAAGCAGATCTTATGACCAACAGTGATCAAACATCATCCATCACCATATCATCCATAGTCGCAATATCATCCACCCAAAATCATCCAAAATATCATCCAACATGAAATCATTCATCATAATAATCATCTATCCACAAACATATATTCGTCCATCCATAAAATATTTTATTCATCCATCCGGTTGTCGTCTCCCTCTTTTTTTTTCTCCCTCTCTGTTCCCATTCTGAACAGAGCGATATGTTCATTTTCTAGGGCAATGCGAAATGTTGGACAGGCACGGACCTCCCATGCACTTCCGGCCCCATCTCCGGAGCCCGAACAATGCCATACGCCTCCCTCGTGCCGTTTAACCACTCTGGATTTTGCCGCTCTGTCCTGATTCCCGTTCCCTCTTTCATTAGCGTTGCTACAGGTAACTCATTTGGCAATCGGATCGAGATCAGCGCAGAGGAGTTTGAGGGCTTTTAAGTGTGTTTTTCTCGATAAATGCCTCTGAATTGGTCTTTGGATGTGCCACTTTCGACGAGATTGGTTTCGTGAGGATGAGGGAGGGAGGGAGGGATGAAGGATGGAAGCTCTTGCGAATGAGCATTGATGGTTGTGGACGCTGAAATCCTGGAATTTTGTAGTCTGAATTTGGTGGATGAGGGACTGAATTATGCCGTGGAGGTTTTTGAAGCTGAGTGGGGAGGATTTCGTGAATCGGAGTAGGTTTGGAAGAGAGCCGTGGGCAGTGTGATTCGAAATTGAGGAGGAGACAAAGAAGTGCTTGGAAGGGATGGCGATGGCCAGCGCGGCGGGGAGGATCGGGCGGAGCCGGGCGGGTGCTGCTGCTGCTGCTCTGAGCCGGGGATTTAAGGTGGAGCGGTTGGACATGTTCGACGTGGTAAATCCAGCCACGGGGAAGGTCATCGGGGAGCTGTTGATTGAGAGCAAGGATGAAGTGGTGTCAAAATTTGAGGCTCTTGCAGCTGGTCAGAAGAAGTGGCGGAGCGTGCCTTTGGTGGAGCGGCGAGCCATGCTGGAGAGGTTCAACGAGCTTCTTAGGCTTAATATGCCGGTTCTAGCCAAGACCTTGAGCACGGAAATGGGGAAGCCGATTGCACAGGCGAAGAACGAGGTTCGTGCGACGGTGGATAGAGTCAGGTTTTACCTTGAAAATTATGAGAAGGTGCTCAAGGAGAGTTGTGTTTTGGAGACCAGTATCCTCAAGGAGAAGGTTGTTTACGAGCCTCTTGGAGTAGTGGCTAACATTTCAGCTTGGAATTATCCATATTTCGTCTCCACGAATGTGTTTGCTGCAGCCCTATTAACAGGGAATGCTGTTCTTTATAAGCCGAGTGAGCATGCCACCTTAACAGGGATGGAGATCACAAACTTGCTGTATGAGGCAGGGGTTCCAAAGAATGTATTTGCGATGACAACCGGTAAGGGAGAGACAGGAGCGGCCGTGGCATCGCTGAAAGGTTTGGGAGGATTATTTTTCACGGGCTCGAACAAGACGGGGCTGGAAATTGCGAAGCAAGCTGCTCCAAATCTTGTCAAGCTGCAATTGGAGCTCGGAGGAAAGGATCCCGTGTATGTGAGAGCTGATGTGGCGGACGTAGGTGCCGCTGCCGCGTCTATTGCAGATGGTGCATTTTATAATTGTGGGCAGAGTTGTTGTAGTGTGGAAAGGATTTACGTCGATAAAAGAATATACAACGAGTTTCTGAGTGCTTTCATCAAGAATGTAATGGCTTTCAAGGTGGGAGATCCTTTAAAGCCTGATACATATATTGGTCCCGTGGCCAGACAACCTCACTTGCCTTACCTTGCTGCCCAGGTAAGCAATCATCGACAAAAATAATAAAGAAAACAAAAAACATATTCATGTTCCTCTCAATGTCTGGGTTTTGTGTTTTGTTATGCAATTTTCGGATAGGATGATATTTTACTCAGTAACCACTCTGTTAGGTCCACATAAATGTATCTGCATGACTTCCACTTAAATTAATTGTCATTGTATATACTAACACATGTCCTTCAAGTGATGGTTTCCTGTAACTTCATCCCCCATAAGTTTCAGAAATGAATAACCCGAACACACCTAATAGCATGTTCCCTAGATCGAGTGGACTGACTTTGGACTAACAACTAAATGTGTTGATTGAGACGGTGAACATGCTTTTTCTGTCGTGGCAATCTTCTGAGAGTGCGTCTCAGTGTTATATATGGCAATGTGTCGCTTATATATGGCAATGTGCTTTTCTCATGTAGGTGCAGGATGCTATCTCCAAAGGAGCTCGCGCATCATCACACACACATCTAGAGAGCAATCAAGGGGGTTTCTATTTCCCTCCTACAGTCCTCTCAGACGTGAATCACACCATGGACGTTATGAAGGAAGAGTCATTTGGGCCTTTGATTGGAATTCAAGCTGTAGAAAATGATGCAGAAGCATTGGCACTTATGAATGATACTACCTATGGGCTTACTGCCAGTGTGTATTGCAAGCACAATCAGGATGCTGAGAACATTCTTCGAGAGTTGGACGTTGGCACAGGTTACTGGAACTGCTGCGATCGAGTATCACCCAGGTTGCCGTGGTCTGGCCGCAGAGGTTCAGGCCTAGGGGTCACTTTGGGCATGGATGGGCTCCGTTCCTTCGTGAAACCCAAGGGGATTGTCTTTCAAAGTCCTTCCAACAAGGATTAAACAGCGAAATCTTGAATGAAGAACGAATGTGAAACCCAACTCGGGCTTCACTCAAAGTCCTACAACTCAATCAATTTGGCTGGCCTCTCGTAGTCAAATCGACTCGAATCCTGTTGGAACACAAATCATGTCAAATTTTAGACAGCGCCAGGGCTCTTTAACGACTAGGCCGTGGAAAAACTGTCGATGGCCAATTAACCATCATGGGTATTCTTGTACGCCATGGTGGCATTCGTGTACGTCATCCGGCCACAACCTTCTAATTGCCACTTTTGCGCTGCTTATTGTTACTCTAGTGAAGGGTGCATTTGGTCAGGTTTCACATTTAAGAACAAGTCTTTTTTTAATGTATTCTTTGACCATTGGAATCAGGTAGTTGGGTTTCTATTAAGTCTGTAATGTTATAAACTTTGACCATAAAATCCAATGAAGTTACATTGTAAACTACAAGTTCAACTTTGCGTAGTTTTTGTTTAGTTGTCAGCCATATTTTAAATTTTCAGTCTTTATAATGAAACTTACGTTAAATATCAGTGACTGGTAAACAACTAACTGTTTGTTGGTAGTAATTAGTGTTTGTCATTTGGTTGAAAATTTCAACTGATCATACAGATAACTCGTGCACATATGAATGTAAAACCTATTTGTATTTATTAAATTTCAGTGGCCTCACCACTTTTGGAAAGACAAAAAAACCCAACAAGTATATGTTTTTTTGGTTGAGTGTATTATTATGTAGGGTAGGAAAAATAGAACATTACAGTAGTTGATTACTGTGTACAATAATTACTTTTCAGCATTGAATAGCATCTATGAGAACTTAAAACTTTATTATAAAGCAAGAGCTAGCAATACAGAAATATATGTACTAGCAAAAAAACTGTGGTATTGAGCATAGAAAAGCTATACAACAAGGTTGCTAAGCCAAAATCAGTAGCCCTTAGAAAATTTTTGAAATTGGAAAAAAAAAGCACAAAAATACAAAAATTTATAATTCTTTAGTATATTTGCAAATAGAAAAATCTTATTTATTACAACAATTAAAATCACTAATTTAATAAATTTTTAAAATAAAGTATGTATAAAGTAATACTTTTAAATTTATCATTTTTGAGATAAATGATTTTTATTGAATTTGAAGAATTAAAATATAACAAAATATTTACAATTATTTATGTATAAATACAAGGGTTTTAAGATCTATTTTTATATTTAAAATAGTTTTTCAATAAATTTATTATTTGCCATTGCAAATAACATTTTTATTAGGAATTATCTTTGTTAAAATTAGAATAAAATATTTGTTGATAGTAGATATAATATGATCTTTAGAAAGAGATCTTATTGTTTCATGCAATTTCTTATTAAATTTTTTGTCTTTATAATCCAATTCATTAATTGTGTAATGACTAAGTATAATTTATTGTAAATTCCTTGGCATTTTTTTATCATAATAAAACTATTGGATGAAAGGATGGATAAAAACCAAAATATATAAAAGATACTTAATTAAAAGATCAATAGAGATGTTTTTAGAAAAACATAACTAATAGATTAAGCATAGTCAAAACTTAAATGATTATTGATGTCATTTTATTTTTTTAAAAAAGGCTCTAACCTACTTTGTAGGATAATAAATTTGGCAAGATTATATAAAACAAATAGAAAATTAATGCAACTATCTTTAACTTAAAGTTGAGAGTAGGTTTTTGCAAAAATTACTAAAAAACGAAGTAGATTAATATTTTGGAGGACCATTTTAGATACAAGGTCAAAACCAAATCTTATGGTACAAAGACAAGCATCTACAAAAAAAAAAAAATTCTTTTAGAAATTAAAAGGTGATTTTTGAAAAAAGACTTTGAGGAAGTTCTAATGATTTAAGATACCTTTGGATTGTATTTTGAATAACTTCATAAGAACTAAATCAAGTGAAGTTTTTAGTACTTGCAATATTAATTTTAGCCATAAAATTGCGGTCTATATTTTCAACTATTTTTTGAACAATGTATTAGATCTATAGCTAGTTATTTGTATGTCAATGAATATATTTGTGTTGAATGTATGATATAAACATACAAAAGAGATTCTAGAACCTTCTAATAATCTTCCACATCATGGTGGATCTTTTTAAAACATTCTAAGCTCTTGATAGAAGTGTGTGGTAGATAACTTAGAAGCTAAGCTATATTAGGTGGCTTTTAAAGAAGCTTCTTGAATAGCTTAGAAATCAAGCCACATAATATAGCTTGAACTGTAAGTCTTTTTGAAAAACTTCCAAAAGAGTTTCTTGAAACTTGGTTTATAAGTCATTTAATAGCTTGCATGGCAAGACGTAAGAGGCTTGGATTCCAAGCCTTTGGTCTTGCAAGTGATTAAAGTATAGACATGATTGAGACTTTACTTAGTATTATCAATTCATTTCTTCAATTAGTTCTTCTTGTGATTTTTAGACCTTCTTATTTTTTAACATTAAAAATTTTTGATTGATTTTTTTTAGCTATTTCTTCTTTTATGGATACATAGTCTTCATTGGTTGGTACTTTAAAGATAATCATCTTAATTCGTTTGATTTTTTTTTCTTAATTCAAAGAATTAATAATTTATTGTTGAGATCAATATTTACATTGGCTTTGTATTTGTATGTATTATTTATAATTTTTTATTTTCATTGTTAGAAAAAACATAAAAAAGAATCTCATATCTTTTTAGTTATTTATAAAAAAAATATGATTTTTAGTTGATTTACTATATAAAATTATTAAGATAAAAAATGTAGCTTTGATTTGATATTAGCTATATAAATATATTATGAAATTACTTAAAAAAATTAAAATTATTTTAGATTTATTTTAGAATTTTTTAAAGCAATTTTTAAGACTTTGATAAAAATAATTTTTATCACTTTTAGAAGCCATCATGAAGAAATAGAGTAAGATTTGATAGTTCTATAAGATTTATAGGAAAATCAAATATTTTTAAATACCATGGTGAAGTCAAAAATGCAAAAATGTTAGTTTTACTAGTAGAAAATATGACAATTAGAAGCTAATATAGTCCTTGTAGAAATGGAGGTGTACAAGTCTCACATGGATTAGAGCACCTCAATTGTAGGTAGGAAGATAAGGCTAAGGCCTTATAGCCTCTCTTTGACATCTATATACATTACTTGTGAACCTTGTTAAGGCTTAAACTCTTGATTTCTTAAGTAAATTATCTTTAGGATAAAACTTATTTACTTAATTTATTTATAGTAACTTAGATTTTATAAGTTTTATTTCATCAAAAGGATAAAATCACTTATATAAAAATATATATTTTATTTTTATTTTTATATTTTTTCTACATAAAAATCCAATAAACAAACTATGACTAATTTTATAGTATGCAATTACTTGATTGCACTTATTTGATTAATTTCGTATTATTCTTCTTTTGATCTCATTAATTTTTTTCTTCACTTTATACCACCAATTACAAGAAATTCTTAATTTAAGCCATCTTGTAATTTAAATCAAGAGATAAATTTTATCCTCATAGATGTCATCAAAAAAACTTTCAAAAAGAAGCTTCAATATTAAACTAGATACAAAAGAAGAAGATTTAGCTAAAAATATCATCAATATGCTATATTTTATTTTTTAATTATTTAGTATGAAAAGTTAAATTATATAGTTATTATATTACAAGTTCTATGTGTCAAATTAAAAAAAATTATAGAATCTAAAGATCTTGAACTTAAGTTTTTATTTAGAAAAAAAGTATATTAAATATAATAATATTTATCTTATAGGCATTTTTGAAACAAAGCTAAACTTTTTGAATGTTGGATTCATCCTTATAATCTAGGATAGAATTTATTACTAAAAAAAAAAAAAAGAAAAAAAAAGCATCATTGTACTTGACATCAATTGAAAGTTGTCAAAATTAATATGTTCTGTCGTATTACATGTTGTTTTGCTTAGGAATGCACTGCGCACTTAGCTGTGGAAGGTGAGATTATGTTTCACAAGTAGCCAAGAAACCCTAATAGGTTTCACCCATGTGAGAAGAATATAATCTAAATTTCAATTCAAAAGTGCTTAAAACACTCTTCTTAGTAGTCTTAACCATACATAAATCCCAATTACCTTGTTACTTTCATATTTAAGCAATTTAGATTTTTCTTGTAAATCCTAATCAGTGAGCTTTAACAAGCTGTAACATCCAATCCGACCGTCCACTTGATGTAGAATTTTGCATACAATTGTCAATGCAAGTCTTCTGAATGCACAAGAAGTTTTAGCCCAATCCAACTTATAGATTGTGAGAAAACCTCCAAAAATTGCACCAATGTCACTCGGCCGCCAACTTGAAAAGTGAAGTAGAAATCCTAGCAATGATATTTCCTTTTCCAACCGTTAACTTTGTCTCAAAATTGGTGTGTAGCTTTATCTTTAAGTTCTCCAAGACCATGCTAATTTTCACCTTCATCCGACCAATAGATCTTCAGATATCATAGAAATCCTACCCAACCTCAAACTGCCATTTTCTGAAACCCTCTTGTGTTAAAAACTAGATATCTCTAAATCGGGCCATTAGATTATCACAAAATTTTGTATACCCTTAGCACACCCAATAATCCAAACAATATTAAATTTTCAACCGTAGATGTTTTGCCAATTGTACGAACTAGCCAAAATTTCTAGCTCTAATTATATTATATAAAACCCAAATCATTGATACAAACCCTGACTTTGAACAACCATTGCTAACTCCTCCAAAACCCTCTCAAAATAATTCTTACCTCTCTGGAAAGAACTTCAAGCTAGCTCTCAAATCCTAACCTCCGATCTATGAATGAAATCCTACTTTGCCCTAGGTCATCGTTTTTGTGGCTAGAGGTTTGATTTCGACCTTGTCTCACAAACAGTTTATCCCCTGGGTATCAATCTATTCTAACCTAAGGATTTTTTTAGCCCAACCCTACTCTAAACTTAATCCTAGTACCAACTATACTAATTATTTACCTCTTCTAACCTGATTTCATCAATTTATGGTCTTTCTAAGGTAATAGAAGAGTCTCTACAACATAGAAGGAAAAATTACTAACTAACCTTCAACCTACTAATTATTAAGATAAGAAAATAACCTAAGAGGCTTTTATAAGAGCCATGTTTAGATACCTCAAATTATAATTAAACTAAGATAATTAGATATTAATTAGAAATTTAATTTTGATTATAATTTCACTATATAGTCGTATTACATCATGATAGTGCACTTTAATAATAATAAATTATAATAATCATAATAATAAAAAAAATTATAAAATTTAAATATTATTAATTGATATATAAAAAATATCATGTTTTTTATTTATTTTCTTTTAAAATTCATCTAAATTATTTAATTTAAAATCTTATGGTTTTATAAACTATAAAAATCAAAGAACAAAAAGCATACTTAATAAAGTTCTAATGAATCTAACTTGAAATGATTACATTGCATAACTAAGAGCATGGAGTTTAAAAAAAGAAATCACACTTGGTTG